CCCTAACCATAGAATCTACTTGTCAAATCCTAACCCAAGCTTAACCTAAATTTTACATTTACATTATGGGATTTGCTTTTTGTACCCAAACGTAATGCTACAAAGTGATGATATAAACAGATTTATATTACACACACAGATCCTTGTTTTTGTCACTTATGGGGTCCCTACATAGACTTACATTCATTTCCAGGACACTTACCCTAACACTTAATCAACTCCTACACTTGCTTTAACCTTACACCCCATTGTTTTCATAAAATTTGACAAACTACATTGTGGGAACCAGCCTCCGGTCCCCACAAAGAAAGTAACTCATGGATTTTGTCCAAGTATTGAAAAACAAGGCCACCCACCCACACACACACACACACACACACACACACACACACACACCAGGCACTATTTCACAGACCTAGTGTACGAGTATATAGGCTGAAAATGGAGATAAGATGTTGGATGAATGTTTGGGAGCTGACAGCACCTCTGTGTGTCTGCTGTGTCTTCTCACTCACTGAGCAGCGTGAGAGGCAGACAGAACATTTAGTCTATTTCAGTCCCTGGATATGTGAGGTCTTTTCTTCACTGTTCCTTCCAAGACCCAAGTGACTCATCCTCATTTGAGCACAATCTAACTCCTGCAAGCAGCAAGGCGAGAATCAGACCCTCAAAGTGGGATAACACTGTGGCCAGTCACATGCAAATGCCTTCATGCTCTCAAGGCTCAGCTCAGTCTTGGTTTGCAGCAAAAATTTATCTACACTCTCGTCCTCTTAAAATCTATAATCTAGGTTGTTGTTTGGCTTTAGCTTGTTTTTGCTCAATTTTAACAACCAAAATATCATTTCTATATTATTTTTGTAGGGGATGATGAGTGAAGAAATATATAGACCAAGCTGACAAGAAAAAAAAGTAAGCAAACACCAGCCCATGAAAGAACAGGCTTTTACTGTATTTTACAGTAAATGCAAGAGCATTTCCTCACTGGGGGGAGATACTGTATAGCTTTGCTGAACAAGCAAATAGCTAATGAGCTGATAATGATGAAGAGACAAGAGAGATGAAAACCTCAGTGATTCTCAGGAGCTGGTGAAGCTAAACAAAGCTAGAACAACAGTGAATATTGGCCTGACGTACGATCCATCCAGTGGACAGAAACACAACTCCAGATGCCAATGTGTTCACAGTTCTTCTGCGCCACCAAGTAGCCGTAGCATCAGTTATGTTAGGTTAAGTCAAGTTTTGTAATCATCTTCTTAGTTTTCATTTTCTTAATAATTAGTTAACTTCTTATAATCATCATGTTGTGCTTCCATGAAACTCTTTCTTGCCTTGCAAGTTAAAGCACATTACTTAAATGCACCTCAGTCAAGCCCTATACTGTGTACTGATGTGCATTTCAGTGGTGATACAATTGAATAGCTTAGAAAAATAAACCACTGTGCACACAGGTGGATGTCGAGTTAAAAGAAAATTAAATACATTAGTGAAGAGATTGTCACCAGATTTCAGCACCTATAGGATGTTTTGGTCCAGTAATCCTCATGAAAACACCAAATGTGGAGTGTTCATCCGTCTGCAGAGACTTGTGGAATCTATGCCATGATGCCACTAGACTGAGTACTGTACAGAGACACCCTCCCACACTTATCACACATCTAAAAGGGAAAAAAGGCCCTTTTCACTGAAAAATCATTCACTCAAATTCTGCATTGTACCTCCAGTACTTGTCTATGAAAAACAACTGGATTTACATCTACTTACAAACATATTCATAGCCAAACTACTGATACATGTGTCGGATAACTTGCCAGTGCTTTCTGGGAAAGAGGGACGAGGCAGATGCAACGTTTCCAGTTGCTGTCCTCAGACCTGGCAAACAGATTTGTCCCATCTATAAAAGTCCTCAAGCAAGCAACACAGCTAATAAGGTCCCAGGCTTTTGAGCAGAAAACTCAGTTTGATAGAGACCCTGGAATGGACAACCAAAGACAGAGGAGGAGGAAGAGGATGCAGGGTACCTCATTTCAGGGAGGAGGATGAGACAAGCTCTGAATGCATTTTCTTTAAATTTTGATCATCTTTAAAGGGGTTTAGCATGGCCTCTTAAAAATAATCCCAGTAACTGCACTCTATATTCATTGAAAGAGGCTCTAAAGAATATAGCTGTGCCTAGTAATTACTTTAATCCATCACCTGACCAGGCATTCTTCTTTTCACTGTGGAAGCATTTTACTTCCTACCTCTTTCTCAACTGTCTCCAATTACAGCATGTTCCCTCTTTACACCCCAGCTACTTTTGTGGTCATATAATAAGTACTTGCATCCAACTTGAAACCCCATGTAAATTTGTGCTATTTTCTCTGGAAATAGTTAACTGGTCTGGACATGACAGCATGGGAGACAAAAACCACAGTGGATGAGAGGACTAGAACTGAAATGAAGGGTATGGAAGACAAAACGCTCTGCCAAAAAAAAAACTAAAAACACTCAGTAGTGTGAGCTGATTAAAAAAAAGGGCTAGGTGAAGGAGCTCAACTGGAAAAACAGGTGTATACCATCTGGGCTGATAGTGGGAGTTGTGAAGCTGGGACAGATGAGACAGCAGGAGAGAATCAAAATAAAAGCATGAGACAGGAAGTTGCTAGAAACTGTGACAGAAAAATTACAGACCGTCTGAAAAGACCCAGTAGATGCCTATTGTGACACTGACAGCTTAGAGCAAATGAGCACAGAAAAGTCTCACTGGCACTGTGAAGTATGAAGGGTGCCATTATTAGACAGCTGTAGAAGTTGATTCAGCAGGCAGCTGTCAATTTGGATACCAGGGGTGACAAAATAAAAGGTTCATCATACTGCAAAGCCTTCTTTATTACATACACAATTATGTTAGCAAACTTTTAATTTTGACAGTAAACATGCAACAGTGTTTGGTATTTGTTTGAGTCCTGCCTCAAAACTAGGTTTTTGTTAAAACACACAGCTTTGCAACTTGCACACTGAGGACTATTTGTTGTCTGCTGTAAATTTATTCAAAAATCCTCAAAAGTCCTAAAACGATTCATCAAATCATCCTGAATTTGAATGTATTGCTATAAACAGGGCCTCAGGTCACCTGTTCTTTTTCTCAGCTGTAGCTGCCTACCCTCTTGTGGATAGAGAGGTAACAGCAGCCAGATGTTAGAGTTTACATCCTCGTATCAAGCTTGAAGAGCCCAAAGTCTGCTTTGAGCTACATTCGTACATTTTATATCCGTTAGAGCCAGAAAATCCTTTGCAGCCTTTCTGAAACAATTGTGAAGATGTAAGGGGATGCTTACACACACAGACACACACACACACACACACCATTGAACTTATAGCTGCAACATCACTCATTCACATACCTCTGTGTACGAGTATATAGGCTGAAAATGGAGATGAGATGTTGGATGAATGTGTGGGAGCTGAGAGCACCTCTGTGTGTCTGCTGCGTCCTCCCACTCACTGAGCAGCGTGAGAGGCAGACACAGAACATTTAGTCTATTTCAGTCCCTGGATATGTGAGGTCTTTTCTTCACTGTTCCCTCCAGTGACTCATCCACACTTGTACACAGCCTTACTCCTGCAACCAGCGGGACAGCACAGCTCCAAGAATCAGTTCCTTCATTTAGTCTGAAGATTCAGTATGCAACACTTTTTAGTGTTTGTCTGCAGTAAACATGTACTGTACTATATTTTGCATATTATGCATTTATATATTGTTTTTCTTTCTTTTTAGTTAAATAAATAAACAAAACCGCAGTGGAATGAAAATTCTGACCAGTCGTGGGCCTAAATCAGTGTAAGAACTGTTCTCCAGCAGGTTTTCTGCTGCCCCATGCAGTGAGGACAAGAAATTATTTCTTTAAAAAAAGCATACATATAAAAATTAAACAATCAAATTGAACAAATTAGACAATCATTCTTTGGTAGATAAGGGATGAGTAACAAAATACTTTAAAAGTGAATACGAACAATATACAGGAATTCTGGTGTCTATGATGTGCTGGTCAAAAGAGAGTGTAAACATAACACAAGACTCTTGGCTGTCAGACTTTGAGAAAACACACAGCTGTCAAAAATATTGCTCAGACAGTTCATCTTTAAAGGTAAATATATTCTATTCATCTAGTGCTATCATCGCTCTGAAACTTTCATTTGTCTGATATATTTTGGTTTCTGATCAAATCGCTCCAAAACTAATGACGCATCCACCAACCTCATCTGTAATTACCAGCCCTTAGCAGACTGATAAAAGGAGATAAGATGTTAAACTGTTTACACGTTGAACATCAGTATGTGGCTCAAATTGCTGCAGTAACTAAGTACAGCCTCGCTGACTGTTACAAAGCATTACAGAGTGGGATATCTGGTGGAAGAAAATGGATGGATAGATATTTGGTGGTACACAGGTGATGTGTTTACTGCAGCAACTTGATGTATGTGGCTTTGCTGCATAATAAACTGCTCATAGGAATACTAAATGGATCGTGCTTTAGATACTAGAAAGTCACTTAATTGTTATCTTCCTTGGAAAAGAGGTTATAAACCAAAACAGGATTTTTCCAGGATAATATAAAACTGTAGAGGTACGCGATATCACACTCAATCAAATCAGCACAGACCTCTAAGTTGCCTTTGCTTTGCAAATTGTTCAATAATTGCACACTGAAGAGGGATTAGAATTTTATAAATGTAGAAATATCCAGTCATCCTTGTCTTTTACATTAAAATTAAAAAAAACTTTTAAGTGAAAGTAAATATGTATCAGCAGATTTGCTGACCAAGACATTATAAACAAAGAAACCTTTGCCCAGCTTATCAGATTTCTGATAAGACTTTGTTTTTCCTGGTCTGTCAGAGACAAGGAAACAAATTTTCTGGTAAATTCAATGGTTTCCTGTTCGTTGTGTGGTATATAAAGCATAGTGGGGAGAGCTGATACAGACAAACAGTGACTGAAGATGAAGACCTTGGTGGCTGTGCTGGGTCTGTCCCTCTTCTACTTATGTATGGCTGAAGTGCAGCAGCCGGATCAAGATTCAAAAACTCCAGTGACTGCATCGCTGTGTACCTGTGCTTGTGACACAACAGACACCCAGTTTAACCTCCAACTCTTTCTCGCCTTAAGAAAAATGGAGATCAGACTGGAAAAGACTGAGAAACAGTTAGAGGATATGAAGAAAGAAGTCCAAGGTAAGATCGTACTGTAAAGTAAATGAGGTTATTGGATTGGTTATTTATTATTGTATTTGTTTGTTGGTATCATTTTCATTCAGTTGGTTTTAAACAGAGCACATACTGTATTACAGCATCCCCTGTTTTCATATAATCTCTCAAGGTCAGCGGGTGGCTTTTGGAGCGTCTCTTGGGTCTCTTGGTGGAACTACTGGACCATTCAACACTGACATCACACTGACCTACAAGAATGTCTACGCAAACACGGGTGCATACAACCCCGCAACAGGTACATGTAATCTTATTGTAATGATGTGTGGATACTGTAAATGGGTTCAGGTGGAAAGTACAACAGCTACTGATGTAACACTCTCTGTGGATCCTCCCCAGGTATTTTCACTGCTCCAGTCAAAGGAGTCTACTACTTCAGCTTCTCTGGCCATAATTTCTCATCTAAACCAATGGGACTGCGACTGATGAAAAACGCAGTGCAGATGGTCACTGTGTACAACCACCCAGCTGGAAATCGCCACGAGACCGCAACCAATGGCATGACTCTACAGCTTGAAGTGGGAGATCAAGTGTGCATGTGGCTTCGGGCAGGCACCTGGATTGTTGATAATGATAATAACCACAGTACCTTCATTGGCTATTTGTTGTTCCCTCTGTAAGAAAAATAAAGTTCTTATCTGCAAAAAAGACAAACTGTATTGTAAGTATGGATAGTTTTCAGCCTCAGGGCTCAGTATATTATTGTTCTTGGTGGGGGTACGTTATGTTAAAAATGAAGACTCAAATCAAATAATCAGTCAGATATGATATACAATTTTCAGGGCACAACAACCCATAATGTCATTTTTGTGACAGTTTAATTGCTGTAACAATAAAAATGCAAAATGTCATTTCCTTATCATTTCATTCAACCTGGACCATCAAATTCACTACCAGTCAAAAGTCGGGACCCACTTTGCCATTGAATTAAATGGGAAAGTGGATCCAAACCTTTGACAGGTAGTGTAGGTGTGATTGAAATGGAAAACCCCAGTTTACATTTTTTTACTGTTTAAGTTCACTTAACATACAAACAAGGTTTTCAGTAAAGACAGTTTTCAGTATGATTTGTGGTAGTAATGTAATGATAAAAAGCAGAGACTCAAATCAAATAAACTCTAGTCATAACAAGGTAGTACACACTACTACTTTAGTATGCTGAAAATGATTTTTGACAGAGTTGTCAGTTTTAAGGGCTCATTTTCAAACATAACTACAAAAATGTGATTTCTGTCAATTTCATGTTCAGCAAATAACTGAAAAGACTGCGCTGCTGTGGGGGAACGATGGTTTGAGAAATACACTTACTCATCTTTGTGCCAAGGCCAAGAAACTCATATCATCTTGTTTGTACATAGTGTTTACTGGTTTAGTGCAAAGACTGGAGACATGTAGCCTGACACTCTCAGGTATTGTTTTAAAGCACAGACAAAAGTCCTATCTTCAAACCTAACTTCTTAAAGATGGTGTGGAAGAGTATTTTGCTCAGTGTTAAACCACTGCCTTTTAGTTGACACAGTGACAGGGTAGTTAGAGGTAAGCAGATAGTTGACACAGTGACAGGGTAGTTAGATGTAAGCAGATGACTGTGCCTGACCTTCATTTACCAACACAGCAAAGCAGCCAAAGTGTTGTCTCCGCACAGCTACATCCTCTTTCCTCTATATTTACACATGCTATTATTGCAAAACTCTAGTCGAGCTTTAGCTATATACAGCATTTAAATGAAAGAGCCTTTCTTGATTCCACATGTTCTCACATGGAAAACCCACTCTCGCTGGCGTCAGGCTGAGTGTGTGTGTTTCAGCGGTCTCACTGGTTCTCATAGCTCATATGGTTCAGTGTTTTGACAACAATAAAAGCAGAAAATCTTTTAATGTGTTACACTAAGAAGTTCATAGAGAAAGTGCTTTATGTAGAAGTGTCTGCCTTGTTTGGAAAGTGGCAATGTTTTGAGGGAAATGAAATGATTTCTTCAAATGTTAGCATTTCTCTCCCAGGTTGTCTGTTGAAATAACTCATAGATATGGTAACCATCTGGGGCAGCTACTGTAAATCAGGTGCAAGCTTCTTTACTCTGACCCATGAAGCCACCACATGCCCGTACAAATGAAATCTATTCATCCTTTTCCCACTCTGTCCTTTGTCCTCACTTTCTATCAGATGCTTCATTCTTGCTTGATAGTATTTTCTGAAGTGCTATTGGTCTGAGGTTGAGAAGAATACAGATCACACTTGTCAGCGCATTACAGGACTGGATCATGCCCAGTGTCATGAGCACCCATACAAGGACAGGCTGTGACAGTGCAAACTGCACTTCTACACAGTTAAATCTATTTCAACATTTCATAGAGCTGAGGTGAAGTTACCGCAACACAGGAAGTGCCCTGTGATCCACCACTTCCTTTCCACCACACACTGAAAAAGTCCAAAGCATCACTGAGCAGAGTGTCAAATTGCTTTAGCTTACATGTTACACGTATAATGCCAAGCAGCTTGTGAAATTCACAATAAGCATAAGGGTTTATGTAATAATGCAGAAAGCATGGAGTCAGATTTTAGGCCAATCTCTGAGACGTACTGTACTAGCACAGTACTAAAAGTGTATTTGTAATATTAGATTTCTATAATTTGCAGATAGTTAAAGAAGTAATGCCATCAGAGAACATGACCTAGACATATTCTACCTATTTCTACATTGTTATTAAAGCTGCATGTGTAAAATCTCTTCCTATAAAATGTACATTACCTAATCTTGACATACCAAACTGACATGACTACTCTTGGTGCCACCAAGTGAGTCAAGTGTCCGTTGCAGCGTCCTTCTGTTGACCACCCCCCCAGGTCGTATAAATCACTGTGAGATACATCTACAAACCAGTTTTTTTTTAATTCCAGCGCTGCAGGCAACATGGCTTCGTCTGGATCTTCTCTTTTTAGACTGTTCACTGTTCAGTGTGTAAATAGCATTTTTCTGTTGTACCTAGTTAAGGTGAGTTAGTTTTAACTGCTTTATAAAGAGTTATGTAGTTTAGGTCACTTTCCAGTGGTTCACAGGATAAATCTGATTTGTTTTACATAAAAAATATGACTAATCTTAATTCCAAAAGTAACTAGCTACCCCAGCTGTACTGGAAATACAAAGTAGCATAAAATGTAAATACTTAAAACTGTACATAAGTACAGTACATCATAAAATATACTTTCCACTGATAGGGAGTAAATGATAGTAGTTTGGATCTTCTCTTTTTAGACTGTTCACTGTTCAGTGTGTAAATAGCATTTTTCTGTTGTACCTAGTTAAGGTGAGTTAGTTTTAACTGCTTTATAAAGAGTTATGTAGTTTAGGTCACTTTCCAGTGGTTCACAGGATAAATCTGATTTGTTTTACATAAAAAATATGACTAATCTTAATTATTAGCCACTGTCTGACACCAACTAGTGAAAGTCAGTATGAAGTTAACATGTGACTTAACTGCATGTTACTTTGTGGACACTTATACTGTATGTTCACCTGCTGCTGATCTGTGTGCATGAGAAACGTTCATTCACTTTAAAGGTAAAACACTACTCCAATCCAAAGAAAGAGTTGTGGATTACTGCAAAGTGCCTCACTGTGCACTGTTAGCTGCCGCTACTCATTAGGAAAACAAATCAGGCATTGCGAGGCCCATTGAATCAGCCTTTTCATTAACACAAAACCTGAATAGCGTGAGCATGTCCTTAGATTGAATTTGGTAATCCGACCTTGAATCTCTGTGGACACATGAGGAAGCAGCAGCTCGCTCACCAATCTGAGGAATGCTTACCAAGCACCAGTCTACAGTATGTGTGGCTGACTGAACTTGGCTGCAGACACAAAAAGCCCTCTCTGTCCTTCACTCTGGAGCCTTGAAAACATGCGCAGGGAAGAGGGGAAACAGCTCTCCCCAGCTAAACACACTCAGTGGAAACCCTACCCACTATACAAACAACTGGACTGAAGTGTTTGATTCAACTCGGCCACAATGGCCATGATACTGACTAGGTGCGGAAGGCATCCTCATATGAACTGTAGAGGTTTAACACCTACAACAAATGCCAAATATAGCATCTAGTACCTCATCTATTACCATGATATACCAAGAAATACTACAACCTGTCAAAGAAATGCAAGAGTTCTGTGATCAGGCTTGCAACTTATTATTTTCAGTGTTTTTTTAATCAATTGATTCATCTGTAAGATAACCAAACATACTGAAAAATATGCATCACAAGTTCCCAGAGCGACATATTTAAATTTGTTGTCGACCGACCAACTGTTCAAAATCCAAAGATATTCCATTTATAATATATAAAAGAGTGAAACAGCAACTCCTCACATTGGTGAAGCTGGAACCAGAAAAAGTTTGGACTTTTGCTTTATATTACTATATGATAACATTTCTAATTGTTTCAGCACACACGCTGCTCACAGTAAGTGCCCCTAAAGTAAAACACTTTGACGTCACCAGCAGTCAATCACAGCACGCAGTGTTAGGTAAAATGCATTCTGTATTACAAGTCTTTCAAACAGACAAGTGGAGGGCAGAAGATTTGTCCAAAAGGAGAATTACAGTTATAGTAAGTCAAAAATGTCACATTTTAGAAAAGAAAAAAAAAATCTAGATAATACAGACAGAGATGGCTTGCCATTCACAGAAACAAAATCCCAGTATAGGTTAAAGTTACTCTGTTGTTCTTATTGGACTAGTACCTTGAGAAGCAGCTGGAACCTGACCCTGAAACAGCAGGTCTGTCACAAGCTTGGCTTCCTTACAGTAAAACACGAACAGGCGCTTTTGACTTTGACACCAAATGAAACTAGAGCGCACACTGAAAACAGCTAAAAAGTTCTGATTGCCATCAAGACACACTGCAGAGGAAGTAGGGCTCATCAGTTGGCACAGTCACAGGAGTTTTCTTAGGAAGGCACTTGACATGGGGTCATGGCGTTCCCCATGCAGCGACAGCAATGCACTAAGGTCCTTGTTTGTGCACATTGAGGAGGGACACCGTCAGCTAAGTGCAAGTTCTGTGATAAATCCATTTTCACCAGACCAGAAAAGGGGGGAAAACTAAAATATGTAGGCGTAATACAACTCCACCACAGTCCACAGCGTCAAATACAGCATCTTAGTGGGTGGGTCTGTGCCTCTTGGATCACACTTGACCTCTTGGGGAGTCACACTGAGATTGGATCTGAGTAACCGGTGCAAGGCTTGAGTGGTGACTGATAGATTTCTGAGAGATCTGAAATACTTTCAGGCCAAAAAAGGCCCCAAAAGTGACCAATCCAATCACTGCCTGGAGATCTGGCATGGTAAGCCCCACCACCCCACCCCAATCTCCAAGACAAATGGACCCAGCCCATAAGATGTAACAGTACAACTCAACAAATAAAACCACAAAAATGCAACTAGAAAACACGTGTCTCTTAGGTTTCACAATAAGACATTCCCACTGAGGCACATTTTCAGAGAAGTGTCATATACAAAGCTATTAAAAAATCCCGAAAACATTCAAGTACTTGTCATGTAAACACTTTTCCAGACTATTATACATTATCGATTGTTGTCGTGGTCGATTCGTGTTTGTGCGCAACAATAAGACAACAGTGTGAGCAAAGAGAATACTTTTGCACAAAAAAAGCCTGCAGGACAAGTTAAAAGCTCATATTTAGCCCAGATGCACTGTTTCTTTATGTTGTTTTAGAGCAGGACACATGAACAGCACTGGTCGCCTCCACTGGGAACAGCTGAATAGTTCATCTGTCTGACTATTTCTGCAAACAGTTCGTCGACTGATCCTTTATTTTTGGCTGAAGTTTCCATAAACGGGCAGCTCCAGTCCTGGGCCAGCGCCTTGCCTTCCCCGGAAGACACCTCTCTCTCCCCCTCCAGGTCCACCTTGTTCCCCACCAGGATCATGGGTACCCTCTCGTACCTCTTCACCCGGATGATCTGGTCTCTCATCGGCTTGATGTCCTGGAAGCTCTGCTGGTTGACCAGGCTGTAAACCAAAATAAAGCCCTGCCCGTTCTTGATGTACAGGTCTCGCATGGAGGCGAACTGCTCGGTGCCCGCCGTGTCCAGGATTTCCAGCACCGACGGGGACGAGTCCACCTCGATCTCCTTCCTGTAGAAATCCTCTATCGTGGGGTCGTACTTCTCAATGAAGGAGCCCGTCACGAACTGGACCGTCAGCGCGGATTTGCCGACTCCGCCCGAGCCCAAAACAACCACTTTGTACTCCCTCATGGCTGGAGGGGGAAAAGGCAGACACCTCCTTTCTCGGCGACGAAGCCTCCTCTCTCCCACCCGCTGACCAGCCCCGATGTTTTCAAACGGAGCAGGCTGGGAAGGGTGCCCTCTCGCTCGGATAGGAGTCTAATCCCACACCGACAAATCCTCCTAGCCTGCTGCGTAAGGGCCGCGGAGCACAGATCCGAGGAGAATGGCCGCTCCCGGACATTAGCGTGGTGAATTAAAGCACATTTTGATCGCACTATATTGTGCAACGCTGCTGGGAAGCGTGATCGCTTCTCCCCTCTTGCATGGCGTTTCCTGCCCACATCCTCAGCGCGTCAAAGCCGAGGTTCAGTTCCGTTTTCTTAAAGGAGCAGTCGCCTCAAACCTCAACCACAGCCAGCAGATGACTGTCCACACACTGTGGAGATACTGTGTCCATGTCTGCGGTCTGCTGTGCATGACCTCTGCCCTCACACAGAAATCCTCAGGTCATTGCTATCAGCAAGAAGCTCTTGAGCTATCCACTATCCCTGTATTTGTACATGACAATGCTAATGAGGTCATTCATTAACCAACTTACAGTACACCGACTTTCAGTTTACTTGTCTTCACACATGGACCAGTAGAAAAGCACAGAGGCATTACTGAAGAGGCCAACTGGGCACACGCCCAGGGAACCATGGGTCAGAAGGCCCCTGGATCTGGCTCTTAAAATATCTAAGAAAAAGACAGATGCACAAAACATCTGCCAAGTGACAGCAAGGGACTGCAAGGAGATGCCAAAATGACTATAAAGATGTAAAATGTCATAAAAGAGGCACAAAACGTCCACCAAAAGAAGCTAAACAACTGCAAGGAGATGCAAAGTGACCGCAAAGAGACAAAAAATGACTATAATGACATGGAAGAAGAAAAGAAGAAATTCAAAAAAGTAAAAAAAAAAAAAAAAACTTAAAAAGGATCAAAACAAGTCTGTGTCAGTCTTGGTGTTTTGCTTCTGTGTAAGAGGTTGGGGAGACCTTGTACCTGTATGTGCCTCATAATCTGTCCATGTGGAGAAGTGTTCAGATCCTGTACTTGCGCAAAAGTAGCAATACTAGCACTATTAGCAATACTGTTACCAGTAAACGTTATATACTAAAAGTATCAGAAGTAGCACTTGTCATGCAGTGTTCCATGTGAGTATTATATAGCTGATTATTACTTGTGCATGTAGCTGTTGTCAGTTCAGGGGGAACTAATTAGAAGAAGAAGAAGAAGAAGCTTTATTTTATTGTAACATTGTGACATGTACAATGAACTATTGTTTGGAGCTGAGGGCCCCGGGCAGCTGCATGCATACGCACCGCCACCACGGGCAGCTTCGGGGGGTTCAGTGTCTTGCCCAAGGACAGACACTACGACACGTGGACTGCAGGCACTGCGATTCAAACCGTCAACCTTCTGGTTGGGAGACGACTGCTCTACCAACTGCACCACTGTCGCCCCCCATTGGGTAGTCAAAGTACAGATGGATAAGTGGCATGTCTGTCTTATGATGTTAAATAAAAATGAAAAAGATTTCATTTATCAAAATTTTGCTGCTCATACACAGGCAGGATGTAGATTCATAGGGGCTTCATCTAACATTCTAATAATCAGTTCTGACCCAGATAATGAACACAGCTTCATGGAAATTGCCCTGAGCCCAATCAGTTTAACCTTGCACATCAGTCTCTGTGGAGCTGCTCCAGTCTTGCTGACGCTGTACGCTCAAGATGGTGGTAATTGCTCATGAGGTTGATGTTCAGAAACAATACTGAATACACTGTCCTAAAATCGTCCTCTTCAGATATGAACTGGGTCAAATTATAATAATGGGAAATAAATACTTGAATGGTTTTTCCGCAACAGGGCATCAGTGTTTGTGTTCATATCAAGCTAAATTTCAAACTCAATTCTTCTCTGTTTCAGGCATGAACTGAAAAGCACTTAGCACACAGAGGCAATGATCACACAACTGTTGCATGAGCAAATCAAATATTGTTTTATTCAGAATTTTTAAAATCCATACAGCAAGAGTCAATTATGGCAACAATAAAATGTGCATAAACAAATCTGAAGCCAGAAGAGTACATTATTATGTTGCAACTGTTAGCAAATACATAACTGGTGGTTGCACTTACAAGGAAAAAAGCAGTCAAAGCATAGGTGTGCCCCCAGCAGGGAAGAGAAACCTTGGTTCCAGCCAGGAAACTGGACATGTGGTTTGTTGCTTTGGTTTTGCAGCGACTACACAGCAGCCTCGAGTCAGAATCACACTGATGTTGACTGGCGACTGCTACATTCATTTAAAATACTAATTTGCCAAAATATGCATTTGGTGTGGTGGGTTTTCACCTGCTGAGTGCACAGAGATGACAGCAGGAACAACTGCCTGTGAGTCAGGGTCGACTGTAATTATATGGCTAAGAGAAAGTATCTGGGGTGGATGAGTGCTAATATTTTTTATCATTCTGGATAACATGTTTGCTTGCAAAATATTTTATCACACAAGAGTAAGATGACTTGTTTTTGAAGTATTAATTCTCCCCATTGTGGATGTTATCTACTGTATGTATAATTCAAACAAACATACTACTGTGTGCTCTGGAGTCTGAATGTGTTATCTTTCCTTACATACTGTAACTACGCAGTTTCTTTTGTTTACATGTTTGTACTTTTACATGCAGTCAAATCAAAGTAGAATACAATTTTTTGATAAGTTTTACGTATCAACTGTACCATGGGAGCAGCAATACTGCATGAGCAAGTCCAACATATGATACATGGATATCACTGAATATGTCATCCTACAGGAGGGATGGAGTTAGCATGACGAGGGGAAAGCTATTCCCCTACAGCATTCCCTGGCGATACTAGCCACTGATAAAATAAGACAAAAAGCGCATAGCTTTCTCTGAATGCATTGGCCAAGAAACTAGTGCCCTTCTTTGCAAGCAATTTTTTTTAGCTGGTCTTCTAATTTAAGAATTTAAATTAATCTAACAAAATTCCTTATAATTATAGATCTTTTTTTATTCAAAATAATATCTCAATATGATACACATTTTTTTTTCTCTGTTCATTTGACTATATACAGAAGTGCAAAAAGTCAACCTTCGTCCCTTAGGTTAGAACTCATCGTCTGCAGCATGCTGGACTTCTCCAGTGTGGAAAAGTCTTTGCTTTCTCGCTTCGTAATCTCACTGTCCAAACAAACATCCGAACACCCGTCAATCTCACTGCTCGTTTTGGCCTGACATTCAGGGCAAACTTAAGAAATATTCAAACAAAAGTATATATCTTTTTGAAATGGATACAGTAGAAAATCATTTTTTACTCTTAACATGGACAATCTCTATCTCAGTACAATATATTTTCAAACATAATCTTGACATGTTACAAGGAAAATTTAAGTTGGTTAAAACATTAGTTGTTTTTTTTTTGTCTACTTGGAGATGCTGCTGCAGTGGCAGCAAATGAATTCCTCTCTTTCCTTGTATCAAAACAGTCTTTCATCAACAAAATTAACTGATAATGTAACATCAACTTAAAAATACATCCAGCTATATGAATGAAGTGAATATTTAAAACTGACTCAACACATTATCATTTATATGGTTTGAAAAAGTTATGAATGTCAAACTACCTCAAAATCTACAACGGCTATATCAATGTTCTCAAGTAATATATAGTAAGGCAAAAAAAAAAAAAAACCCGAAAAAAAAACAAAACAAACAAAAAAAAAAACTACAACTACATATCTTTAGATTCAAATCCTTAAGTAGTACATAACACATAAGCATTTCAAAGATTGTTACTTTTACACAAAGAGAAGGAACTAAAAAGATCATAAGCGGCATGTGAGAGATCTATAAAACATCACTGGTGTTCTTTACCTGCATGGCGATTCAAAGTGATTGGGCTGGGACCCATTAAGTGTAATCTAAGGCTTTGTCAGGTACATGACAATCGGTAAAGACACACCAACAGAAAAGGGGGGTGGCCAAAACACTGACAAATGAATGAAAGATGATAAACATGCTGAAGCCTCCTTAGAGATGTATCTGTAACCCTTTGTGAACATGAGCCAGAGACAAAGTGTGCTTTGGTTTCCATAGTCAGATCTACAACTGAGTGAGAACTTTCAAGTTTTGCTCGAAATACAAATAAATCTGTTGTATTTCCTCAAAAGTGAAAGTTCATATAATGTGAAATTAAAACAGGGCGATCAGACAAATAATCACTCAAGTGCACATGTGGTTTAAATGACCTAAAACACCTAGAGGGTCTGCTTTTTGCAATTCCCATCAACACATGGCTCAACAGTGTTTCTTGGAGACACAGTTTTAGAGTCACTCCTCTTTAAAAGAGCAGAGGGAGAGCAAGGTAACACAATGTCAACTGAAGCTACACCCTCTACTTTACCAGGCTTTAGAGTCAATGGACGTGAGCAACAACTTAATCCCAGCAAACAAAAACAACACTAGTCTATAAAAAGAGGTATGACAAACTTTAGAAAAACCCTCCATTTTTGATTTTAAAAGAAAAACATAAAAAAGGTGAGAATCCCATTTTTAAAACAGATTAATCAGAGAAATGAAAAAAATTACAAACACTCATAATGGGGATTCTCAAAATGAAACAATACAAAAAGAGCCATACAAAACTTTTACCTTCGGTAAACAAATAACAAATAACACTGCTGAGATAACACTCTGATTTTAGCTGTATGGCCTTGATGGCACCCGATAAGGTGAGAAAAGCTAGCCTGGCTGTGCTTTCAAGGTACACAGGTATGTTGGTTTACCCAGAACATTCATATGTCCAAGACCCTCATTTCAAGATCTAGTTTCACTAGTAGCCGTAAAAACACAATACTGTACATGCCTAATTCTTTTGGTAATTAAACTTCCTGTTAAAATCATTGTGCCTTTCAATTCAAATTCAAGGTGCATGTTTTCCCTCCACTTGTAAACTCTGAAATATGGCTATCGATTAAACAAAATAATGCAGGACTAATAAAAAAGGAAAGAAAAATCTTGGTCTACGAACGTACCAGCACTGGATGTTGTCTTGTGCGAACACGCTCTCAACCTTCTGTGCGTGCAGTGATAATAATAATTAGAAGAAATTGAGTGCTGTGGTTTAGTCAGACACAGAAGTGTAATGTGAATGTTTGCCACACTGACCACGGCACCAAACTATACTCTTCTCTGTGCTGGACGTTGAATTAGAGAACTTGACGTTGATATGTGGGAAGATGGCAGAGATTATACTGTATGTTGCACCCTTGATATCTATATGTGTGATGAGACCATCGTTGCGGACCGGATAAGAGATGGCAGACCCTCCTTGTCCCATTGCTTGACATTCTGAAGGTTATGTACATAAAGGCTGAACTCTTTTGGCTTGGACGGTGCCAGCACACATTCATTTGATCTGTAAGACATAACGGATTCAACTTGAGCTCTTCTGCATTCTGTATGTTTTTGCTATTGAGAAAGAAAAAACTTTACAAATTTACAAAGTTACATCCTTAACCAGAAGGAAAATGACTCACATAAAACAAACTTTGCAATAGAGAGAATGTAGGGATGAAACAGGAACTCACTGTTCTCAAGAGGAACTACATTTGAGTCAAGTACTTGTGACTACTCAGATGATCTGCAGATATTATTGGAATCTGGGGTGGGGGGGATAGAAAACAGACAGGGATCAAATGAAACATCCCAAACTCAACTAAACAATCAAAGCAGACATTGGCTAACAAAACAAAGACAGATCAACACATTTTAATCACATATCTTCACGTTAAGATGAGATCATTGCTGAAAAAGGCAAAAGATGATAAGATAGGAAAAAGCAACTTGTGGCACAATTCATTCAGATGTGACATAGCAGTCAGAATCATCAGATACTTCTGGACATGGGGGAGGGGAAGAGGAGGGCTGAAGGGGAGGGAGAGATGAGAGGGGCAAAGGGAAACTTTCAGTGAGGTGGCTTCCCCATGCAAATCTTAGTCCTCCATGTTGTTGACCTGCACACCTCATTAAAATACAGGAAAGTGGTTGTGGAATAATAGCATGAAGATTCATCCTAAGCTTTCATAAATCTTTTCACTGGTATGATGAGACAGTCTAATGTGGCTAACTGCTAACTTTAGCAGACCTGATATCAAAAGGTTGCAAATTTTCTAACACACTGGTTTTAAAACTAATAATGAATAAACACGAGGAGCATGGTAAAGCTCTGCTCTATGTGCTGGAAGCAGCAGCAAAAAAAGAAAAACAATAAAGAAAAAGCCAAGCACCAAAGGGCACAGATAGTGATGCTGCACAAGCTGTGCGAATGGCTCTAAAAATGTGAAAAAAACTACCTCATACATACCAATTGCATGTATTCGTTGGTAGTCAACTTTGATAAGGAAGAGTCCTCAAAATAGGAAAGGACAAAAATCGAGGTTACAATGAGGACACACATTAAATGCAATACAGTATGTTTCTCCAGAAAGACAGGTCATCAAAAGGATGTAAGAAGCTAGAGTATGGTGGTTATAGTTAAAATGGATAACAAGTGTTTTAAAAGTGGTTACAGTATGATAATTGTACACATGTTGGACTTTAGTGTAGGCCAACAAGAGGGAGTACCGCCTATACCCAACCCACCCCTCGCTGTGAGACACAAGCATCCCCAGATCGTCCATGTGCATTGAAAGATCGACAGATAGATAAATAGATAGATAGAGAGAGAGAGAGAGAGAGAGAGAGAGAGAGAGAGAGAGAGAGAGAGAGAGGGACTGAGGTGGTAGAGGTGCAAACCTGATTGGTGGAGGCAGTTGCGAAGGGAACGCTTGTGGCAGATGTGGTGGCTGCAGACACAGTGGCTGGATTACCACCATGCATCATGGGAACTTTTTTGGAGGGAAAATCATGTAAGCAAAAATACACAGAGGAGCAGTGTAGCCACATATAATCCAGGCAAATGAGGGAAGGAGGAATAAAGAGAGGGAGTCACAGAGGGATTCGATTTAACTGGTTCCCTTGCTTCCCTCTGCTGATGCTGAGAACTTGTGATTTGACAACTTGATGTGACAAAAAAAAGATCTATATAGCTGTAGCAGTAGTGACTTGCTTCCACATTTGTGTGGATTATTAGAAACTGAACAAACAATACTGCATTTTCTTGGTAAACACTTAAATTACATTAAACATATAAATAAAAGTTCTGTCATGCGTGTCTTAAGAACAGCATCAATAAGGCAGAGGAGAAAAGGGGGAGGTTAAAATTGAACTCCCTCAGGTTTTTTATGTTTATATAAGGGGTTTCAATAGGAGTCAGGTTAGACCAGCCAAAAGCCAAGTTTAAAACCAGCATGAGAATGAGAGGGGTCAAGCAATAGACTAAGTGTACACAGAGGGGATTAACAAAATAAAGATTGATTAAACTGATATTATGAGCAGTAAAAACTGCCATACATGTAATATACAACAATTACATTTCATAATATTTGTCATTCCTTATGTGGACTCTTGCTTATGCTTCAAATCACAAAAAGAATTTTCACGCTACCAAAACAGTGACAGTCAGGTCACCAGAGTCTCACATACAAAACAGAAAGTTGCTATGAAAACAACATAAAAGATTTCATTGGATAGTTAGATTTTGATGGTGTGAATCACAGACATGAGGTTACAGATAACTGAAGAAGGAAAGCTGGAACCTACCAATGCTGGCTGCAGGTGTCATGCACAATATTGAGCCTGCCCATCATGCAGTACAACAGGAAGTGGATTGGATAGGGAAGAGAAATCAAAACAGCCCATCACAAGGTTCGTTAGAGTGAGGGGAGAGATAAGGTGGGGGAAAGAAAGGTTAATATTTCTTGGACACAGTCATCAGTGATTGGAAAAGGCAAAGTGGTGAACTCATCAAAAGGCAATCTGTTATACAAATGAGTCTGAATCTAAACTTTTGTCTGAAGTGTAAAGCATATAAATGTGTAATACACCAAGAGGGATAGTGTGGTTACAATTGTACAGTAACTAGGATTAAACATTAATCTAGATAGAAGTGAGGAGAACAGCAGATGTGTACAGAATAAAGACTTTGCAGCCTGCTGCCAAAATGAGGTGTGAGACACAAACCATCCAGCTCCATTCACCCCAGCCCAAGCTGAAGACCAGCAATGGTATCTCATCAAAATGTGAGTTACCACATCACTTTAATTCAAGTAGATAGTAAACAAGCCCTATCATTTTCACTTTCAGGCATACATGCCTCCCTCAGTCAGCCTGCATATATTAGGAAGAGCAGGTAGTTATGTGGAGTTAAATGAAGGTGATTAGTAGGCAGAAAGCCATTCTAACATGTTCTTGACACCTAGTGGCCAGGCAATGCCATACAATTGAGTTCAACCCAATTTTTAGCTTTTAGACTACTCTGTGAAATAGTCATGTTCGACCTCACATTGGACCAGAATTTAATCTACAGATTTTAATCTTTCCCACTATCTGAAATATTAAAACTAATAACTTGAGTTGAGAACTAGTCCAGAAGTGAACTATTCTGTACTGTGGTCTACCACTTTGCCCAGCCCCAGCCAAGCAGGAGCCAGGTTAGACTGCTCCAGGCATCCTTTTGGTGGTCAGAGCACCAGCGGTGGTTGCTTTTGGAGCCGTACCTGATGGGAGGAAAGCAGCCTGTTGCTGAAACTGCATGTTGGCCAGGGCCTGTTGGTACTGGAGCATGCCGGTGTTAAACATGGCAGTGGCCCCGTTGGCCTTCTCCAGGGCTGCCCGCTTTGGCAGGGGAGCCATGACACTAGGGGCGATGCCCTGCCCAGCCAGACGGAGGGAGGTCAGTGAGAAAGGAAATAAAAATAAAAAAAACAAAGAGAGACAGAAAGAGGGGTGTGTGGAAAAGAGAGAGAGAGGGTGTGTTGGAGAGTGGCAAAAAAGAAAACAAAAAAGGTACATATGTTAGAGGGCATCATAAGAACAGCATCACAACATCCTTGTGTGTACATCAACAACAATATCATCACATCATCAGTAGCAAGCAAGCAGCAGTCTGACACAAGTACTACACAAGCAGGAGCATGGTGCCTACTGGAGCTACCGGCTAACAAGCATTCATATGCTCATTACTTTACCAGGAAGCTTACTTGGGTTTATTAACCTTGTTCTTTTATGGCTGACTAAATGCAACATAAACAAGCATTAACTATTTAAACAATAAGGCGGCTAACAGGAGGTGGAACAGGTAGGAAGCACAGAGAAAGGGAGGCTGCACTGCTAGCTCCATGATAAACTGTGTAAGCCATGTTTAAGTGATGGTTCACTCTCAGGCGAATGTCAAAAACGGCCTCAGGTCAAGGAGCACAAGTCAAAGTGTTGAAAAGCATATTTCCAGTGTTTAGACTTTTATCTTGGCATAAGGCCATTATTGAGGTCTGAATATCTGTGACAAGTCCTGATGATGGAGTGAACTATCAATTGAACTGTCATCGTCTGTTATGGTGGGATCACTCTTGTATGGTTTTACAGACTGTTCCTCTTAGCCCCACCCTTATCCGTCTGACATGCACTAGCAACACAGACATGCACACATTTGATTGAGCTGCTCCACAACACTGACCGCTGACTGGGACGTTAAGACTGAAGCCATGTCACTGTTATAGAAGCTCTACTTCCCTAGCCCTCACTGACTTTTGTTAAATAAGCTACAGGTGAGGTGATGAATTGATTGTGGCTCCTTAATCACAAATTCCACATTTGAATTTGTGTATTGAGGTGATTTTTGACATGAAGGCAGTTGTTTGTTTTTGGAAGAGATCTAAGCCGCTGAAAGCCACAATCATTTTATCACAGGCAATAATGACACAACAACGAGAGGAAAGAACAGACATTGCACTGAGACAACGACAACATAAATAGCTAGGTATCTTTGGTTACAACACTGCTCTACAACAAAGCCACATGCCAAGCTAAAAGGTGAAAGGTCATAGTACCAGGTCAAAGGTTGCGTCGAGGGGTCGCTTCAGTGATTTGACAGCCGACTGAGTCTTAATTAGCAGGCAGTGAGCACATGATGGCAATGGGCCAATGGGGTTCAAGCGCATTAACATAAACCAGCAAGCAGAGGTGCATCATGGGGGCAGCAGTGCAGTTTGGGTATAGGTGAGAAAAAACAAAAACAAATAAAAAAACAAATCATTGGAATGCAATATACAAGGGGATAACAGGACTAAGGCATGCACAGTGTGGACGCTAGCTCTATTGCTCAACAGTTAAATGATCACCAATCAGTGAATACTACTAGTCTACATTAGTTATTGTCACACAAAGATGGATGAACATACAGGTAGCGGTGAGAAAAATATTCTGTCATTACTTTAAATGGGTCTCGGTAATCTCATTGGATAGAAATTTATATGGAACCATGATTCACAGGTTTCTGTTTCACTGTGCACATCATAGTCAGAGCCACATTACAATGATTCACCCCAAGCTCTTTGCCTCGCTTGGTCAATAAGAGCATATAGAAAACACTGCGATCAACGGACGAGTGTGGCTGCACTATAATTCAGAGGTTCTGTTACTGAGAGACATGACTGGAAGCACATAAATCCTTTTTAATAATGTCAAGAGGAAGAGAAGTAACAGAAAGGAAGCACAGAAACAATGGAGTCACAAATAAGACCAGGCCATTAGAGAGAGAAAGAGAGAAGAACTGATTGTCTGCCTGTGATCTGAGATGAGATGAACAAGGAACAAGACAACAGTTTTGTCACATTAGGAAGAAAAAGCTGTGAGAATAATGTACCATTGTCAGAATGTACCTTCTTCATATCATCCAGTTCTGAGCAGATTTTCCCAAACCAACATGCAAACCTTTAAATTTGACCTGACAAAAAGCAGAACTGAAAAGCTACATAATACCAATCAGGAAGGTGACACACATTCAAACATGAACATGAGTACAGTATGAGCCACAGAGAACACATTCCCTACTTAGAAATGTAACCTACTATAGTAGATAGCTCTGATGTTAATTTAAAACTTTCTTAAAATTGCTCTTTAGGTTGTTGTGTGAATGAGTGTGAACACTCCTGCACAGACTGCTCACCATGGCCGCGGCGGCTGTGGCCTGGTTCACCTGGTGCTGGGTAGCCTTGATTTTGGCCTGCAGATGTCCAGGCGGGTGGAAATATTTGCACTTTTCCCTGGTGCACCGACCCTTGATGTAGTCCATACACACGGTGACAGTGTTGTCATTGGTGTCAATCATGGTGCTGTCTGCAGGGTGGGCGAAGCGACAGTCGTTCTCCCCCCGAGAACAGTTGCCCCTCTGATACTCCCGACACACCTGGAAACCAGATAATGACAAGCTAGAGTTAACCTATAAATTCAACACAGTGTGTGCACAGCATAAGAACACTTCCATATAGTGTAGAACATCTCCTTCTTTGTGTATTTCTTCCTGGATACAGAATACATCAAGGTTTGGTTTTGTCAGTATAATGGGAGCAAATTTACCAAAGTCCATGGCTACACACAAGATGCCTACAGTGTGCTTCCTGTTTATCGTGACCTGTAACATACAGTATGTAGTTCCTCTGTCTCTTGGTCATGGATGGACACTACATTTAGGAAGGTAATGGCAATGCTGCAACTTTTGCACTTCAACCAAATAAACACAAAATCCTATGATAAAGTTATTCTGTATGAAGGTCTGGGATATGTTTGAGTATGAAACTCGGACATTTTTAAAGTCTATATGTGAGACACCAGAGGGCAGCATCATCTTTGAGTTATCATGATCGCATGGGTATCTCAGAATCAGGTGGCAAAAGCTCACAGTATTTCTTGTTAGTATTATAACAGGGAGGACAAAGTAGTAGCTGACAGCAGGCTCAACAGACCAGAATGCAATGCAACAAATATTACGCTTTGAGTGGGGTTTACAGTCCAGACTTCCTGATGACTGGAAAGAACATGCTCCATTGCTCTCTGCTACATAACTAGTGCTTTGTAAACCATTGCTTCTCTCTCCACTCAAATAAATACTGAGCAAGTTCAAGTTCATGTCCAGTTCTTGTCTAATGGACTTTTATGAAATGTATTGTACGAAAGCACAAACTGTACTGGAACTGCGCAAGGCAGAGTAAGTGGGTTCATCAAAAAAGTAAAAACCTCAATTACAGAACAACTACTGAGCTGATGAAATATTATAGTTCATAAACATTTAATGGTTTTATTTCTTTTAACTGGCTTCTATTTTTCACAGTGGTACTTGCTACCAGTATTACAGTTTCAGAAAAGGTTGTGCACACCCAGTTAAGGCTGCTTGCTAAGCCACTTGTCTTATTTACAGACTCATAATCATACTGGGCGACTCCACTTCCACTCAGAAAGAAACACAACATGAAGTTTATTAGAGGTTTCCTGGATATCTTTGAGAGGAGAGGGCAGATCCTCTGCCACCTACACCCCAAAACAAATTGTAGAGAAGACATTGTAAATGTCGTAAATGTGCTTGTTACCTCAAGTCTATCTGTTCTCAGCAGCTTCTGGGCTGCAGCAGCAGCAGCGTTTGGAACTTGGTTGACGGTAGGGCTAGAAGCCATGAGGACAGGGGTGTTGGGCAGGATCTCCTGGGGCATCAGGCCTGGTGACACAGGGCTCAGGTAGGGATTAAAGGCCGCGGCTGCAGCGGCTGCTGCTGCGCTAGCATTGGTGGCCAGGCCTGGAGTCACTGAAAACATGGGCTGGAAGAGAGCAAAATAAAAGCAGAAAAATTAAATAACTGTGGATGAAACTAGTGCAAACCCACAGGGGTCTGAGAGGAGAAGAGTGAAAGAGCCACACAGACACTGAGGGAGCTATATGCGTGAGATTTTACATGTACATGGCCTCACCCAGAGCAGTAGTTGTGGTGTGTTCATACGTGTGTGTCCTCTCACCATAGGTGGTAGCTGTGCGCCAGGTATCATGGCATTGGCGAGATGCATCTGCTGGGCCAGCATGGCCATGTTCTTCTGCTGGATCAGGTTGTTCCTGCCATTGATCTCCAGTTGGGTCTTTAGGTGGGGAGGAGGGTGCAGATACTTGCAGTTCTCCCTGGAACAACGGCCCTGAAGGAGGTAAGTGACAAAATGATACGGCAAGGTTAGAATGACACACATACCGTAGGTGAAACTGCATTCACACTGGAAATGCATTATCTAACCATCTGACAATTTATGGACAAATATATGCTGACACAAAAAGAGGTAACATTTTTGTTGTTCTTTGGTTTTGCTTTGTGTTTTCTATTTCAACCTTTATTGTGTAATTTAGAAATGCTGGGGTAGGGGGATTTGAAAGGCACAACTTGTACCGTATATGCAATGAGAGCAGGCTAAATTGTTCATCACTAGTTCAGTGTCAGACGCTCAAATTCATATCAGGTCTGGGCTGAGTCTAGCACTAATTGTTAACAGCTTGCTATTTCTGTCAGTCCCAGCAGGGACATGTGTATGTGTGTGTGTTTGTGTGTCTGTGCTAGCCCCCGGAGGTCATGACTGACACTGTGGTGCTGCTCTCCAGATGTCCAGCTTAGCTACATGTCTAACTGACACTATAAATACTGTCCATTCACATGAGCCATATATATTATATCAGCAGTCACCTCAAAGGGTTTGAATTATCTACGACTAGTATTCCTTCTTGGTGCCTGCTGTGCGTGTCCGATTTTATGTTCAGTCTAGAGAGTCAAGGAAGAAGTCTGACACATGCATGCACTTTCTCATGGAGGTGGCAGATGTACATCAGATAAGACAAACGTGCACACAAACACGTCCACGGTTTAGGACAGACGTGTATTTACTTTCAGCCCTGGAGCACAGCTGAGCTTTCGCTCACTGACAGAGCTGTTCCCTCTGGGGTTCATCTCTATACTCTGTCATGACTTCATTCCCCTCACCCATCTCCTTCGCTTTCACTGACACTGGAGCACCAGACAGGTGCAAGGGAAAGAAGAGAAGATAAGAAACAGGTGGGGGTGTCTTTGAGATATTTAGTTTTGTCCACTTTTCCTTTAACATTACTGTGTTGCACAAGCCAGGTAATAGCAAAACAGAATGTCTGGCGTTTGATTACAGCCATGTCTCCTCTACCCTGTGTCCCTGCAATCTTTCCTGCTGCCTTAATACAAAACAGAAGTGAGCACATGAATAAAGAGTTTATCAGTGGTTGTTTATCTGGACTTCTACCTGTCTTACTTTAAAATTCCTGTGGACATCTACTGGATATATTAATTGAAATTTTTTAGTAGGTACCAAAGATGTTGGGCTGAAACACTGCAGATGAAAATAAGCATAAAGAAGTAAAGTGAGACATCCACATGATGACAAAAGTACAAACAAACAAACACATAAAGGTGCTGCCATAAAATGGCATATCTGGATTTAAAAGCCAATGACTGCATGTGTCATAAAGTCATACATGAATCAAAGACACAAATGGATAAGGAACAAGTCAAGTTTTTATATATCTAATAAAATAGGTGTTTATATAACGCTGAATCCATTTAACACTGACTAAAGCAAAACTCAACCAAAGCAGAAGTCTCCATGCTGTGGTAAAGTAAAGTGCTCCTTCTAACATACAGGACTGACCCGGTTGTACACCAACCACGTGCACAGAGGCTAAGCTGGCATACAAAAGAATGCCGATGCTGATAACGCTGCGAGGTGTGTGGGCACGAGTGTGCCATGCATGTATGTGAGATGAGCGTAGTTGAAAGCTGGATCTAACAGTACTCATCCAGAGATTGACAATGCAGCGAGGGGAGGGTGAGAGCGTGTGTGTGCAGAGGGGGGCTGGCTATAAGGGCATGTAGGATCATGTTTCGTTCACCGCATATGACCCCATCTGTTGATTGCTGGATTCAGTGTGCAAAATACAGGGTGTCTCAGGGGATCTCAGCCCCCCTGACTGACAGCTCGGACCCCCGAAAATCTCAAAATGAAGTTTCGGGAGGGTCTCAGACATGTGCTGAATTATTTTCTATTTATCCACCCAGTACAATATATTTGCATGTAACCTCATAAACGGTTAATTGTTTTTAAAATAATAAAATAAAAATAGGTTTTCACTAAATCTATGTAATGAAACTGACTGCAGTCCATGGGAGCACCCGGCTATTAAAGATGCATGCACTGCCCACTTTACAAACCATCATAAAATACAAATAAAGCAAAATACTAAAACAGACACAGTGTACTGTATGTCCCCACTGCAGAGGTATGCCTTTGTGAAACTTGATCTTTGTTCGCCATTGTGTAGTAGATTTGGTGCATTTAGTGCTGGCTGGAGCGCGTATCCTCAACACAGCAGCATTCACCACAAAGGTATTCACCTACACCTAGTCACCACCCCTCCCCCCTTGTCGAAAGGAGACCCCCTAAACTGCACAATGTAATTTGCACATTGGCTGGATTTACCACTGCAGCAGTGCATATAGATATGTGTGTGTGAAGACACGAGGACACAGAGAGAGAAAAAAAAAACGCAGCTTAGACTTTAGCTAACTACATTAGCCTTTTTGCCGAATCATCCAAAACAAAAGTCATCTATAAACAATGGCATACATTCTGAATAAGAAATCAGGCCCCAGATTGGAAATGACAGGTGAGAGAGAGAGAAAGAGCAAGAGCTGGGCTGCTTCAGGGAAATTTTAGAAGTCACACAGACAGATGGAGAGAAGAATGAGGAAGACATTGCCCCTCATATCATGTTTGTACTGCTATTATGACATCGGCGGCCTTGAGGAGCGGCTAGAGGCAGTGTCCACGGCAACGGAGCAGCCAGAGACTGCCGTTAAAACAAGGTTGACATTCCTGGAATCCTCCTGATAGCTGGCAGATACAGGAACTCAGCAAAGAAAACACTACAGATACAACCAACCCTGTAGCCACAACTAGTCCAAAAGCAGAGGGCATCCACAGGCCATGCCTCTCTGTCCTGGCATGGAAAAGATGAATGATGCAGACATCTATAAGCATTTCTTGTCACTGACCAACTCTTCTGTCTCCACTGAGGAAAGTGAAAAAGAGAATCATATTACCTCATTAAACTAACAGAACTTTACAAAATTCATGACACTCTGAACAAAACACCTGATGAGAATGTGATTAGTGAATAAACTGAGTTGTCACTGTGCTTATACCAGAAATAATGACAACAATGACACAAGCAGCTTCAGGGCGATTCATCCACATCATTAGATAATTCCCCAGAGTCAGCGCAGGTTGATGAACAGAGATCAGTTGCATATTTGCTTTCATCATACAAAATGTGTTTCGGGAATATTTTTTCCACTTCAGGAGATTATAGGAGACATCAGTGTTGTGTGCGAGTATCAGAGCAGCTGTATCAATAATAAAATCTCACAGATCCAAAGGGACATTTTAAGGATATTAGGAAATCAAATGATAAAAGCACAAAGAAATAGTTTGCTGACACATAAAAATGTCTAGTAATTGCAAAATGATTTAAGAAGTAAATGATAACTTATTTATACTAGATTTCAACACAGACTGATGAATACATAAGCAAATATGTTTCAGATTTAAGGACCTGGATGACAGAACTGTGGCTGCTCAAACACAAAAGTATCTTAGCTTCATAGATATACTGTATCCTTTTGGGAAAAAAAAATACAATTAACAATTAGACTGAATTATCACCAATCACTGATACTTTTAAAATACAACGACCTGTTACGTTGTTAAACTCAACCTGTTTTTCACAGTTTGCTCCTGCTGCTCTACTGAACTCTCTCCCGGTTTCTCCTGGTGAGATCAGACTTGCCAAACCCCAGGACAAACTGGGAACAATAATCCCAGTGGCTACTGTGAATTCTGATTGATGATAAGTTGCAATAACATGTCCCGCCCTGACCGCTCTTTTTTCTACTAACTCTTTGTGTCTCACCCATAGACACACACCCTTCGTTTGTAACTGTGTGGGATTTAAACAAACAATGAACCAATGTGTAAAGAATGCTGGGTGGGGCAGCATCCCGTCCTTTTGAGAAGAAGAGATGAAGCATGCAGCCAGATGTATTAATGCGTACTGTATGTGTGTGTGAGTGTGAGTGAGAGAGAGAGTGAGAGAGAGAGGAGTGAAACAGCAGAAAGCTTAAGAAAACTGGTTTATACTTATGGGATACAGTAACGATATCTACTAAACCAGCAATTCACAACCTTTCTGACTTGTGACTGTTGATTTATATGGCGCCAGGGGATTAAAGCCAAAATACATCACTAATCTGCTTTGAACTGTCCAAACCTCTCAGGTTGCTGGGACAGGTCTGCTTACTGTCAGGGTCAAAGCAAAACAACAGTGTTCAGTTTTTATACACCATATACCCAGAACAAACTAAGTGAAAACCTGAGGTCTGCAAGTGTTCTTTAAATCAAGGCTCAACAATTTGATCAGATTTTTGTATTTACTGTATTTCTTTCTTTCTTTTATTTTATGGACCCCCAGTCACTGTCGACAGTAAAGTTCAGTGATGTTTTCCACTGTCATTACTAAATAAAACTTGGGACTATTCATTCATATCACTGTAGTTTTTAATCAGTTTTATTTTTATTATTTTCTACTGTATTTTATTTAACATGTTTGAAGTCAGATTTAAGTGTCTTTTTATTTTTTTTGTGCTTGTTTTTCATACCTTGTTTTAATGTCTTTTTATGTATAACGGTGAGCACTTTAAATCGCCTTCTTGCTGGAAGGTGCTATACAAAGCTACATAATGACTGCTTGAAACCCACTTCTTACAGATTGCTTATCTCAGTGAGACAGATTTTTATTTTAATAACTCAGACACCTGAGGGAAAATTGTGTAATTGTGTAAATTGTGTAAAAACAAATTGTGTGTAAATTGTGTAAAAACAAAACAAAACGACAAAAAAAGTACAGGAAAATTATTTCGTGTAGAAGTTTTGTTTTCCGATCTATTAAACATCCCATGAACCCCTAGGAGGGCTGACCCACAAATGTGGAACTACTGCAATAACATTTCCTGGGGGGGTTTCAGACTGTGTCAGAATCTTTACTCAAATTTTCTGGAATTAGAAACTTG